TATATATATGTATATATACCCTATATGTGAATAATAAGAATCAATATAATTACTACTTGCAAACCTCTTTTCTTGGTATCAGAGCTAGACAACAAAACTTTAGGTCTCTTTTTAGCCGCCAGAATCCTCCCTGCAACCACTTGCTTTTCTGCAATCCCTCCACTAGAGCTTCTCCATGCAGCCGCCAATTCCAAAATTTTCCCTCCGTAGCCAGTTTCCTGCCTTCCTGACTAGTAGCCACAGGAAGCAGAGCTGCTCTTTCCCATAATAGTTTTCCTCAATCTTGTGCAGCAGAAGTTCCTCCTTGACTAGTAGAGCTTTTCGGGCAAACAACAGCCAACAAACGTTCCTATAGCAAACCTGAATCACTTCTCCAAACGTTCCTCATATCCTCCTTTGAAACTCCTCTGTTGGAACTCTTGCAAGTCGTAAATTTCTCCTTGCAACTGCCAAAACACCACCTTCTCTTTAGGCCTTCATGAATCGCAAGTACACCCTCTTCTGAATGCCCTCGTCTATTCTTCAGGCAGTTGGATTTCTCCCTTCTGGAGTCTTTTCTCCAAGCCCTAGTCATCGGAAGGAATCCTCTAATAGCAACGAAAACAGACTCAGTGGCGGCAAGCATAAGCTAAAGTCCAGCAACTAGAAGCAGCTCTAAATACACTTAGGGTTGATGGCCAAGTATGGAATGAAGACGTCGAGTTCGACTCCAAAATGTTAATTCTGAATCAGAAATTAGGGATTCTATTTAGACTACTCATGAACTCTCCAACTTTATTACAAATCATAAATTGACCATAAGTATTTTCAATGGTCTCAATTCGTGTCTATGTATGGTTGTCTTGGTTAGTCAACTCAATAATAACTGAAGTGGGATAAAATATTTTGCTCTACAAAATTGCCAAAAAAATCTACGAGGTTGCAAGGGAAACATATTTCAAGACTGAAAATACTACAGAGTTCTTTAAGATTGAAACCAAGCTTCATGATCTTCGTAAGGAGAGCTAAGTTTCACCCATTACTTCAACCATTTGACAAAGCATTGGCTACAATTGGATATGTTTGAGTCACGCGCGGGAATGCACCCATGATGCTGTGACATTTAAATCCATTATCATTAAGAAGAGAACCATTAAATTCATAGTAGGACATACTCATGAATTGGATGAGGTGAGAGAGAGAATTATGGGAATAAAGCCCCTTCAATCTACTTATGAAGCCTTTGCTAAAGTCAAGATTGAAGAGAACAAAAAGAAGTTGATGCTGACTAGAAATGGGGGTTCGCCAAGTACTAAAATTTTGACCGTGTACACTCATAACTCCTCCCATGACTCAACGCACAAGAAGAATTGTCCCTCAAGTGACTATTGCAAGAAGATTTGGCATACCAAGGACATGTTGGAAATTTCATGGAAAGCTTGCAGACTGGAAACCTGGATAGGGAAAAAGGCCAATGACACTACCACATCTGAAGGGTTGAAGTACTGAAAAAACTTATTGGAGGTAATTCAAAGCAGCACACCAAACTCGTGACACATCAAGATAATATATCTTTCTCCCATCTTGCCAGTAATGGGTGATTTAAAACTTGGATCATTAGATTCAGGACCTCTGATCATATGATTGGAGATATAAATGCTCAAATCTACTATTAAGAAGCTTTTACAATTAAATCGGTAAGACTTGTAGACGGATCACACTCATGAATTTCTCGGAAATGAGATGTGAAACTCTCTCAGTATATTACTCTTTACTTTGTTTTATATGTTTCGCTGTTGAACTATAATTTGATTTCAATCAGTAAGTTTACTCATGATATGAAATGAAATGTATAACTAAATTTATTGAAAATTTTTGTGAATTCCTGGTGGTTATCGGGAAAGATGA